CACATGCTCACCTGAGCTATGGCCTTGGAGGCTGCATCTGTGGGTCCAGGAGAACTGAACCCCAAGACCCAAAGCAGTGTGCACATGAAGTCAGCACAGCAAGTATTACTGTCCATGGGGGATGGTGCTGAGGCCAAACAAGAATTACTTTCAAAAGGGAAAGAATCAAGAACTCTGCAAACCATCAGCTGGTGAAGTTGACATCAATCCCCAACAAAATTAGAAAATACATTCTTAAGTAAATTACTTTAAATACTTAAAAAAAATAGAAATGAAGCTCATTAGGAACCAGGCCTGGGGCACCGGGCACTGCGCACGCCCATCACCTCACACGCACTGGCTGTTGGAGTCCATGTGCGGCAGGGACACAGATGCTGGAACCAGGACCCCAGCAGGGATGAGGGGCCCGCGGGGGCGCCAAGCTGCCAGCAGCCCCCCACAACTGGAAGAAGCGCACAGGCCACAGCACAGCACCCTGGGAGCCCCGCTAGTGAGCTGAGGACAGAGCAAAACAGTCCAGAAATGGCTTGTGTGTCCACTCAAGGGTGTGAAGACAAGTGTCCCTAGAGGGGCCCCAGTCACCCATCTTACACCTGAAAAGGCTCTGGGGAAAGCCCTTCCGCTGGGACCGGGGCGAGGGCGAAAGGAGGATCCAGAGGGCAGGGCCGCAGGTCACGTAGGAGGGCCTGGGCTGAGACGGGCGGGCAAGCGTGTCCTCAGCACAGGGACGGCCCAGAGGATCCTGGAGTGAGGGGCGGGTGGGCACCAGCCCACAGACAAACGAGTGAATGAACACACGCCAGGGACTACAAAGCCACCTCAGGCTTCTGTCTGGCACTGACTCCTGCACAGCAGGAAGGGGCTCCTGTCTACCTGACAGGTGGGGCAGGCTGGCCGAGGCAAGGCCCTAGGTGTCACTAGACGCTGTCCACTTGCAGTCAGGCTGGACACACAGGACACACAGGAAGGAGCCTCAAAGGATACGGGAGGGGAAGCCTGAAGGCAGGAGCAGGGCATGGTGAAGTCAACAGCCGGGGTGACACTGGGCCCAGATCCCTGCTCTGAAAGGACCGTCAGCACTGGGCTTGACCCCACAACAGATCAGCACAAAAATGGAGCCCCCACGCCAGGAACAGGACAGGCAGGAAGAAGGAACACGGTCTGGGGCTGAGCACCCAACAAAACTGCCTGTGCCGGCCCAGCCACCTTGTTCCCCAGGCGAGCTCCACAGCGGGGCCCTTTGAACCCTCCCTCCTCCACTCCGGCCACGGCACCCTGCGGCCTCCACCGGGAGGCTCCTCCAGTGCTGTGTCAGCTGCTCCATGGCTCTCACGCCCCAGCCTCCAGCTTAGCTGAGCCCTCAAGGCCTGTGGCCACGCTCACCATCCCAGACCCAGAGAGCCTTTCTGGGTCCGTCTACTGTGACCCCACCAGATCCCCAGGGAGGAGGCCAACAGGGGGCACAGCCCAGGCTTCCAGACCCCCTGACTTGAGCTAGACCCTCCTCACACAGCAGCACGGCCTCGCCCAGGGACCAGGCAAAGCAGGGCCTGAGGCATAGCAGATGACTCACCCCCTTTCCTTCTCCGAATTGAGGCTTGGAATCAAGAAACAGAGTAAATGGGGTAAGTGGCAGGCTTTGTCCCTTGGCACCAGGCCCCCGCTCCCCACTCCCACCCCTCCTTTCCCATCCTCAGCCTCCCAACAACCAGGATCTCCCAGACCCCCACCACCCCTGGCCGACACCCCATCAGACTGTGAGTGGCAAATGTGCCCAAAGGCCGAGTCAATAAACACAAGTCAAGGTGGGAACAACCACAAGTACAGACAGTGCTTGTGTGCATGCACACACCCACACACCCAGGCATGCTTGTATGCAGCCACACGCACACGTGCACGCACACGTGCACACACGTGGACACACAGCTAAATCACACTTGGTTCAATCAAATGTTTGTTCAGAAAAAAAGGCAAAATCCCATAAAAACCAAGTTCAGAGGCCACCGATGGTTGTGGTGGTCACCGGTGAGCATTCCTGCGGTGTGTTTCCAAAAAAGGGGGTAGGTCAATGTGTTTGCCAGGCCAAGGCTGGTTAGGGACCACACACTGGCGTGACACCTGCCCTGACATTCTCATCACAAAAGAAAAAGGGACCAGAAGTTCCAGATTTCTTATGGGAAAGAGGATGAACAGGAGGGTCTCAGGCCCACCAAGGTGCTCTCTGGCCTGACCCCTGCTGTCCGAGTACGTCCTTGGTTCAAACCATCACAGGAGCACCTGGTGGCTGTGACAGGCCCCTCGGGCCTCAGGGCACCGGCGCTGTCCCCCCTTCCTCCTCCTCTTCCCTGCTGTCTCAGGAGGAGGGTCCTCACCCAACCCCTTCCTCTCAATCTCATTTCTGCCAGCCCCCTCAACCTTTCGTTTTCTGGGACACCATCCCCCCCACCAAGATACATTTTTCTTCCTCTTCCTCTGAGCAGCCAGCAGTCAACCTGGGCGTTGACCCCCATCCCCGGCCCCTACACCCTGCTTTTTCTGTTGCCTCACATTTTCCTTTTTTTCCAGGTGTTCAGGTCATCTTTTCAATAGACTACAAGATCCTAAGGGGGTTCTATCAGCCCTCGACAACGTGGCACAAACCTGGCAAGTTTATGCTGGCAATGAACCGTCTTTTTTTCAAAGCAGAAACACGGGGTCTCCCGTGTTGCTTAGATACCTGGGAAACCCTGATGCTGGCCTGGCTCCCTTCAACCAGGTGTCTCTAGAGAAGCTGGGCCAGTGGGGCAGGCCTCCTGTGCTCCCGGCTGCCCAGGCCCTTCTCTGAACAGAGTAACAGAAAGAGCCTGGGTCCAGTTCAACAAAAGCTGTGACCCTCGCTCAGCAGTGTGGACAGAGGCTCGTACTAAGCTGTCCCCTCATCCTCCTCCAGACTCTGCTGGGGGAAACGCTGGTGAACAGGATGCTGGCCTGAGGCTACAAGGGTGAGCCCCTCTGGAAGACAAGGGTCTGCAGAGCAACCCTGTCACACGGCAGCAGAGGGAAGGCCCAGAGCAGAGAGGAAGGAGGCTCTTCTTCCATTCGCCGGTCTCTTCAGACAGAAGCATCCCAGAGAGCAGAGGGCAATTCTCCTGTTTCCACAGGGCAGAGTCCCTGGATCTCTGGCTTACAGGTATCAGGCTGCCCAAGCACCTCTTTGTGTAGAACAGGGAGGGTCCCTTCAGAACAAACAGCTGAACGTGGCAATGTGACAGCCTCTGAAAGGGCTTCCTGGAAACCACCCACCAGAGCCTGAGGTGTTGTCTAGCCAGACCCAGCTGCCTACTGGGACTGGTCTGCTGGCCAGTCAGGATCCTCAGTCAGTGTGATGGATCAGCTCCCCGACTAACCTTGGACCCTGTGACCCCGGGGCCAGAAGTCTGCCAGCTTCTCTGCCTCACTCTTGAATGAGCAGGCTCACTGGGTATAAAATTCCAGGTGGAAAGGCATTTGGACTCAAGACTTTAAAGCTACTCTTCCACTGCCTTCTAGCATCTGCTACTGCTGATGAGAAGTCTGCTGTCAGCCTGACCTTTGATCCTTTCTGAATCATCTGTCTCCAGCAGTCAAGATTTTCCTTTTTGACTATGGTGGTGTGAAATATTACGATGACAGGTCTAGAGGTGGATTTCTTTTTATTTCCTTGATTCAGACTTAGACTCCTGCAAACTGGAATCTCATGCCCTTGTTCAATTCTAGAAAATTCTTAGCCATTTACTCTTCAAATATAGCCTCTTTCCCAATCTTTTTATTCTTTCCCTCTGGGACTCTATTTAGGTTGATTTTCTCACTGGTTCTCCATATCTCTTACCTGCTCTTTGATACTTCGCTTCTCCTTATCTTTCTGATCTGCATTTGGGGTAATTTCCTCAGATCTGTCTTTTAGAAACAGCTTCTTCCTTCAGGTGGGTCTAGTATACTGTTTCCCATGCATAGATTTTAAAAATCCCAGTGACTGCAGTTTTTGTTTCAATAACATTTCTTTAGGGATCCTTTTTAAATCTGCTTATCCTTTTTATTTTTATTTTGCTCTTTCATTATGAATTCTGTTAGTCCTCTTAAACTTCATGTTTAAACACCTTTTCTTGTCTCTTTCATGTAATTCTATAATTTCCAGTTCTTCTGATGCTAATTCCAGTTCTTGGGTTTGTTCTAGCCTTCCTACTTCTCATGGGTCCACAGCCACAGCTCTTGGCTTTGTGGGGACATCAGAGCCCTGACCCCTTGCCCTCTGCATGGATACCCTGTCCCAAGCCCCCCGGACTACGGAAGCATCAGCTTCCTCGCACTCTCCTGGGTCTCATTTCTCTCTTCATTTTTGAGAACTGGGAAATTCCTCTTCCTTTGTTTTGAATGGGCAGTGTATTTTTAAAGTTTTATTTTGTTCAGAATATTTATAGGGATGAAGATCCTGACCATGTCTGCTCAGTCTGTCTTGGTGGCTGTCCTCCACACCAAACCAAACTGCAGTCAGGAGGACCTGCTTAGAAGGGGATGGCTCAGCAAAGGACCAGGGTCTGGGATTAGTCCATGAGTGAGGTCAGGAATAACTTTACGGGACAGGTAAGGGTTCTTTCCATGGTCAGGGCAGAATCAAGCCTGAAATCAAGCTTGTGGCTTTGGAACCAGGATTAGAGCCCTTCCTGTGGCCAGGACTGGGTCAGAACTCAGCCTAGGACCAGAGTCAGGGGTCCTCCCATGGCTGGAACCAGAGCAAAATTTAGAACTAGGGTTGGACTCAGATTATAGAAGGGTAGAGCATGCTAACAGTCCATGTGTGTTCGGACATGCCATGAAGAAGACGCTGATGGTCACTCTAAGTCACGGCATGACCATTATTAACTGTCACAAATGTCAGGACATATTCATGTATAGCTGAACATGCCAACGATGAGGCTATTAACAGTCACATATGTAGACACATGCCCACAATGAGGCTTTGGTGGTCATCCTGGGATCGTGTCCACCAAATGCCCCATCAAAGCCCCAGCAGACTCCTGTTTGCCTCCTGCAACTCAAGAGGGCCTATTCCATTATTGTACCAGCAATGTTCACACAGCCCTGGGAAGTCAGCCCCTCACTGTAATTACCCCTGCTTAACTGATGCATAAACAGTTGCTGAGAGGGTAGAATAAATGCAGAGATCATATAGCTGGTGCCTGCAGAGCCAGCCAGGAGCAAAGCCCAGGCCCCTTTCCTCACTTGGATGAAACGAAGGAGCACAGTCACACTGGAGACGTGGAGAGCCAGAGGCAGCACGTGCACGCGCATGCAAGCACACCGGGGGCCCTGCTCCCTGACCATCAGTCCTGGTTGCCCCACTGTCCATCTCCTTCCTTCAGCCCTCAGCCCTCATCCATCCATATGTCATCTCCCTCTTCGCCCCACATTCACCCAACCCCTCCACCACTCTAGCACCCACTCACCTCCGACCTGTTCATACGGTCATCTGTCCGTCTTCCTCCCCTCTGGCCCAGCCCCCCTTCGCCTGGCCCCCACCTTAGGTCATCTGCCCGCTGTCTGCCCTGCCGCTCACCAAGCTCCTCGAGCTCTGCCGTCATGGACTTGGAGCGCAGGGTCAGCGTGGTGCTGGGGGCCCTCTTGGGGGGCGGCGGGGCTGCAAAGAAGAGGGAGGCCTTGGACCTCCTGTCCAGCAGCAGGCAGCGCGGCGTGGCCAGGTGCAGGTGCCACCTGCGCTCCACCGCCTGGATCTCCTCGTACTCCCGGGAGGACGAGTCGCACTGTGCCAGGATCTTGTTCAGGCTGCGGCTAGATGCAAACTTCTTCATGGCGCTGGGAGCTCAGGGGTGCTGAGGGCCGGGCTGGGCCGGGGTGGTCGGGGCCTCAGGACGTGGTCAAGGGCCCCAGGTGGGTCACGGTGCTGGCCAGCCCCGGTCTGAGTGCCTGCGCCGTAGGCTTCGAGGGCTGAGCAAGGGGGCACCAGAGCCATGGGGTGGGGGCTGGGAGGGGTCTCCCGGCAGGCCGGTCCCCTGCTGCTCCAGGGCCCCCTCAGGCCTCGGAGGCCACTGCACCTCAGGGGACCAGGGTGTGGTCAGCCAAGCCAGGGCCTGGGCTGGGCTGGGCCAGGCCGGCAGAGCGCCTGGGCCCAGGCTGTGCCGCGACGTCGGCGCGGGGAGAAGACGCTCTTCCTCTTCCCTCAGGTGCCGCCTCCCCCTCCCTCCACAATAAGCGGCAGCAGCGTCAACCTCACAGTTGCTATGGCAACCCCGGCCTCCAGGCAGCTGCCGGCAGTGGAAGGAGGGCTCTTCCATGCCAGGGGCCGGGATGCCGACGGGAAGGAGGGGGCAGGGACTTTAGGAAGGGCAACCTGGGGTCAGGGGTCAGAGGCTGGGACCAGGGTTGGCCAGGACCAGGGTTAGCATCAGGGACTGGCGCTCAGGCCACAGATGTGGGCGTGTAGGCTCAGGCACCTGACGTCGGCAGTCTGGGGCCATGGCAGGGGTGAGGCGAGGATTGTGGGCCTGGGGTCAAGGTCTAAGGTCAGGGGCCAGAGGGGAGAGACGGGGCACAGAGGACCAAAGCCTGAGACCTCACCTCTGCGCCGAGCCCCATCTTCTTCTGGCTTCCTTGTCACTGACACCACCTTCATGACGAGGCGGTTCCCGCCCTGGCGGATCAGAGCCACCACCTGCTTGTGTCCAACCTTCACCACATTCACCCCATTCACCTGGGACAGACAGGGGGTGGGTGGGGAAGTCAGGTGTGCTCTCCTGGGGGCCCAGAGGTCAGCACCCCCTGGGGCTGCACAGATAAGGATGAGCCTCACCTCGATAAGGAAGTCTCCAGTGCGCAGCCCAGCCCTCCAGGCCACGCCCTCCACATCCACCGACTCCAGATACTGCAGCGCGGGGAAGGCTGGCGTGGGCGTGAACTCCTCGATAGGGGTCTCTGCTGTGGGAGTTGGGGTGAGGGAAGTTAGGACGGCACCTCACCAGCGTGGCCCAGGTGGGGGCAGCTGCCACACAGCAACCCCGTGAGTGACCCAGCCCAGGATTCCAGAACACGCCCCTCTGAGAAATACCCCCCCCAGCTCACTCCTACCAGAAAGGCCTCCCACACCATTCGACACACAGCAGAGATCCCGTAAATCAATGAGGGAAGAGACTGCTGCCTCCCATCAACACTCCAGACTAAGAACACAGAGTCACAGAAAGGGGAGAAAGAGAGGGAGAGAAGAAAGCGGGGGGAGGGCGAGGCCAGGAGTGAGGGAGGCAGGGGCAAAGGGCAGGGGGCAGGGGTGAACATGGTAGGCAGGGGATAGGCAGGAGGAGAGAAGAGGGGAGGGTCAGCCGCAAGACACAGAAGACACCCCGACTTGTGCACCACCCCTGCCAGCCCGGTGCCCTACCCTTCATTACCTTTGGCCCCTCGGAGCACGAAACCAAAGCCCTCATGGTCCCGTTTCTGCAGAACAGCCACCTTGTCATCAATGACATAATCGCTGATGGAGGGAAACAGGGAGGGGGTAAGGAGAAACCTGCCAGAAAGCACGGCTGGCCAGGCTGACCCCCACATGTGCCTAAGAATTGTCCTCAGACTTATCTGGGAAGGTAGAAGACAGGTGGGCTGGGCACCACCTCTGCCGGCTTTGACCTCTTCACCCCAGGCCTTCCAGACTAGCTCTCGGCCTCCCTCCACATCTGACACCCCATCTGCATGCATGCCCATCCTCGCCCCCCTGCCCACCTGCCCCACCTGTACCTATGTGCAGTGAGGCTGTCATAGGAGCCCACGGTGTAGTGGCGGAAAAGTCGCTTCGTCCGGTCCTCCCGGGTTTCTGAGGGGAGGTTCAGGAGCTGGTGGAGGGTTTTACCTTCCAAATGGCCCGAACCGCCCCTCGACCATGCTGGTCATCAGCCTCTGTCTACACACACACACACCCCTGGCCTGGCTGTGCCCACATGGAAGGAAGGGGTCCAAATCCTGGGGTCCTGGGCCCAACGGTCCTAAGGTAAGAAGGCTAAGGGGGCCTTGCTGGAAATCTTGGCCTCTGGGGGTCAGGGTCCAGATCAGGGCAGGACCCTCATGTGAGTGGCTGCACACAGCCGACCAGACAGGCCAGGGCAACAGGAGAGTCAGCAAGCCTCCAAACTAAGGGCAGAGGAGGTGTGCACACAAGTGTGTGGCCCATAGCCCGCAGCCTGAGTGTGTGTTGTGTGCATACAGCCATATGTCCGCGTGCCCTGCACCCACGTGCCAGTGCTGTGCTCACACATGCTTGTACACGTGCATGTCTGTGTGTGCACGACCCACAGTCGCTGCAAGTTTCACGCTGCACACCTCGGTGCACTGATGTGGAAGCGGCCCTGTGACTTTGCTGAATCCCTCACCACAGCCCACTGATGCTCGACCTCATGGGGTCCTTTGCTCCAGACCCCGCCCCTGGGTGGGCAGGGAGGGGCTCAGGCTGAGGGCTGGGTCCCCTTCCCTGATGTCACTGCATCGCAGAGCTTTCTCAGTCCCCACCTGTACTCAAGCTCCTCGTAACCACCAGAGCTGGCCAGCTATCTGCCCGCTGCTCCACCCTCGGCCTCGCTGATTTCCTGCACACCTGCAGGTTCCAATCCACACCTGCCGTCCCAACCTCCCTGCTCCAGGCTCACTTCTCCAGCTCCACGTACATCAGATGCTCCTGTACCCTTGCACCCACTCCTGCCCCCCAGCTTCCCAGCACGTCTGTCTCTAGCTCTCCAGCTCCACCACCACCACAAATTTCATCCCTCAGCTCCTCCCTCATTATCCGTCAGTTCAGCATTTCTCAAGATCACTTTCTTCATTCAACAAGCTCCTACTATGTACCAGGCTCTGAGAATACAGCAGAGAACAAAACCACTACCCTGTGGAGTTTACGATCTATTCAAAGATAGAAGAGAGACAAGAAACAGGTACAAACATAACATGTCAAATGCTGGTAAGCGTTAAGAAAAAGGTAAGCAGGTGGGAGTACAGAGAAAGTCTGCAGCTCTAGGTGGTCACACAAAGTCCTCATCGGGAAGGAAGAGTTAATGCAGGCACAAGGATGTGAGGGAGCAGCCGTCAGATTATGTGGGTAAAGGACTTCCTGGGAGTGGGGCCACTCAGGGCAAAGTCACACGGCAGGTGCCAGCTGGGGTGTTCCAGGGACAGTCAGCAGCCTGTGCAGGGAGGCCTGTCTCCTCCACTGATTGTGAGCTCCTTGCGGGGAAGGACTATGTCTTGTTTATTTCTGTGATCCTAGTACCAAGTACAGCACTTGGCACATAACAGGCACTCCAAATGCTAACTAGAGGGAAAGACAGGTAGACAACTGGCTGGGTGGGTGGGTGGATGGAAAGATGCAAGGATGGATGGAACAAGAGACAGATAGAAGAATGGACCAAAGGTAAATGGAGATGTAAGTGGATGGAGGAAAAGAGCGAGGGGTGGGGGGTGGACGGACAGATGGAAGGAGGGGATGAGGGGATGGGGTTTGCTAGGTGGGCTGATGGGTGAGTAGATGGATGGGTGGGTAAGTTAAAGGACAGATGGATGTTAACAGTAGACAGGGCAGTGGCTGGATGAACAAAAGAGCTCCTGCAAACATCAGAAGACACAGATGTCAAGAAAACCTCAGATCCAGATTGCGGGACCCTGATACTAACTTTTGTGGTTCTTAGCATGTTGACAGTCCTGTCGGCCTTTTCCTTACAGAGCAGGAAAAGTCACCTTGGAGGGTCCCCTAGGTTCCGATGACCTGTCACTTTATCACTCTGTCACCTCCCAGGCACTCACGTGCCCTCTAGAGCACCTGCACCCACCGTCCTGTCTTTCCCAAAGCCAGAGCAGGCCGCGTCACTGCTCAGGGAGGCCACAGACCCCTCCCTGCCCCATCACATGCTTCTCCACACTGACCCAACTTTGGAAATGTTCCTAGTGCCTGCCTGCAGAAGGACCCCACACACACACTCCACAGATCACTGGCCTCCTGTTTTTATATCCTGTTGACTAAACAAAATATATTTATTATATAACACAAATTCATTTTCCAGTTTTTTAAATCAGATACATAAAAGTCAGCTAAAACAATAACACACAGCTTGACCCCCAAGTCCTGGAAAGAGAAGGGGAGGCGAGAGAGGATGCCAGCCAGGGCCATAGCGTGGGGGGTCCTATACCAGCCCCCAGCATGCACAGGGCCGATCTCCCCGCTTCCTCCCCTCACGGCTCAACCCTCCCCGCCTGCAACAGCTCCTTTCACCCTAGACAGGTGCCGTGGGAGCCACACTCTCTGCTGACCCTGGGCATCAGCCTGGTCCACACGTGTTGGCAGTGTCCCCTCCTTGGCCTCTAAGTCCCTCTCTGTCCCTGCTCCAGTCTCACAAACAGATCTTTCTTTGGATCTGGGCCTGTTGGAAGCAGGTTCCCATTCCTGGGCTGCCCTCTCTCTTCTGGCAGAACTCAGCCCCTGGGTCCCAAACCAGAGACTCTGCCCAGAGCAGCTGGCGGCCGGGCCTGCAGGTGAGGGCAGAGGTGGTTCCCACCCCCTCCCAGAGGGCAGGCCCACAGGCCTGTCTCCCTTTTCCCGTCCATGAACTGCTCCCATCCACCCAGGTACCTTCTGACACTTTCAGATGACAAACCCCAGAGCCACCCCTGTCTCAGAGCCCCACAACTGCCCAAAGGCCTACAGCTCCTTCACCAGGTTACACTGTGTCCTCTCCCTTCTCCTGACTCCGTCCCAGCCCTGCCGACCCCGTCTCCATCTCCCCACTCTGGCCTACCTGGGCCGTCGCCCTAACCCAAAACAACCGGCACAACCAGGACAACCTCCCTCGGACTCCTCCTGTGACACTGCCACAGACTTCAAGCCCACCGTCCTTCCCCTTGGTCCACAGCCACCTGACCAGCCGCACGCTCCCCACTCCAGCTCTGCCACCCCCCCCCCACACACACACAGGTTTACTCAGCCAGAGCCCGCGATGCATGGCGGCTGTGGCACAGACCCTGAAGCTGCTGCTGACGTTGCAAACAAGACTCTGCTCCTTGGGCCGGGGAACCCGCCCTCCTGGAAATGGACTGACAACTGTCCCCATCTCCCAGACCTGCTGGGACGAGTCAGTGAATCCTCAGATGTAAAAGTGCTTAAAACCAAGCCAGGTATCCTGACGCTGGTTGGAGCCCGCTGGGTGCCTGCACATGCAGGTCTAGAATCCAGTGCCATGCTATGGCCGACAGGCTCTCCCCACCCCTTCAGCCAACCACCTAGATGATCCTAGCCATCCTGGAAGGCTCAGTTCAAACAACACCTCTGCGTTAAAGCCCTCCGTGACTCCTTCAACCCAGGAGCTCCCCGTTGCTCACGCCTACCACAGCCCTGTGCACGCCTGCTCCTCACTGGGCTGACAGCCAGCCTCTGTGATTCTGGCTCCCAGCACAAGGTCCAGCACCCATCAAGCACCTAATAGACGATTGCTGTTCTCAAATCCCAACTCTAGTCCAGACCTCCCCTCCTTCCTCTGCAGCTTCAGGCTCAGGGCCAACTGCCCCTGGATCCCTCAAAACAGAACCTTCATTGCCCTCTTTGTGGGGGAGCACAGGACCCACTCCTGACTCAGGTCTGGAGGCCCCCTCTTCTCCTCCCCTCCTCTGTTCAGCTGGCACCAGAGCCCAAGCTTCTGAAACCATTCCGCACCTGAACACATCACCCCACCCACCCACCATAGGCACACCACAGGGGTCGTGTCCGTCCCACGCTCCCAGCCACCAGGAGAGCTGCCCTGGTAGGGCGGTGAACGGCCAGGTAAGGGAGTAAAGGCTCCTGCTCACGAATGGATCAGCTGCCACAGGCCTGCCTCCCTGGGCCTCTGCCCTGCTCCACACCAGACAGGAGTCCAGGCCACACATGGGTGGGCTCCCTGGGGAAACTCTCCACCCGGGATAAAGGAGCACAGCAACCCCGAGCTCTTCCTGAGCAGGACTGATGCATGCACCCTGGGCCCAGACACACCACTGGTGACCACCACTAGCCACCACTCGGGAGGGCTCCCTTGTCCTACCAGCTCTCCAGGCCAGAAGAAATACCTGCCGGTCTAGGGGCCTCCAGAGACCCCCAAGTCCTCATTGCAAGGGCACACAGTCAGCCCTGGCCTAGGGTCTTGGAAGCACCAGCCTCTCCTCTCCACTGGCAGGACCACCTCAGATCCCAACTCCCAGAGGGGTCCCTCCTGGAGGCACAGGTGCTCAGCAGGGTCAGACTGAGGTTGCTCACCCCAGGAGCACTAGCCTTTGTCCTTGTGTCCTGCCTGCAGGCTAAGGATGGAATCATCCCTCACCTGCTGCCATCGGCCCATCCTCACCCCAGGGCACCCATGACAGCCCCTCTGGGCCCAACTGGCCTCATTTCCTCTTGGCTGGTCCAGTCCTCCCTGCACTGCCCACTTGGACAATCTGTCCACTTTGGAAAGACTCCTCTTTTCTCATACTGACCTCTTTACTTGTCTGCCAGCCACGCAGGAGTCTCGCACTCCAAGTACCCAGTATTTCTGTGAGACCCATTTGTGAGCGGGTTATGGTCACTAGGAGCCACGTGTACGATCACAGATTGGTGCACATTCATACGTGTGCATCCTGTGGGCACATCACACGTGTCTCCATAGCTGGCAAGGGTCTCGATGCACACACGTGTCGGTGAGTATGAGGTGTGTACGTGCCATGTCTATCATGTACTCATGTTTGTACCCAACTCAAATGTGTTTCAATTTATTCCAGTCTTTTCCCTGGGAGTGTCAATGTGGATTTGCCTCTAAGGAAAGCTGGAAGGGGCAGCACCTCTTGGGAGCCACCCAGGGGATGCAGGGGTCACTCACCGTGCCGTGTGTCATACTGTCTCATCTGCACCTCCTCCACGCAGTCAGCCGGGAACCAGCCTGTGCGGCCTTTCACGGTTCCCTCCCAAAAACCGCCCTCCCCAATGCTGAGCACTGGAGGGACAAAAGCCAGACAGGCTGTCAGGGTAGACCAGGGCAGCCAGAGCCCACTTCTCCCGCCACCACCACCAGCACCAGCACCTCAGACTCAGGTTCTGCCCACCACCCTTCGCCCTTTCTCTCTTTCTCTTTCCCTCCCTTCATCTTCCTGGCTTTTTCCTAAGAAGATTTTGGGATCCACACAGAAAAGAGAAAAGAACAGATGGGCACAGCACAGGATGGGCATGTGGGGGACAGAAAGACTGACAGATGGACACACTCGAGGGGGGACAGGAGGCAGAGGCAGGGGCCACAACCCTGCTCCTGCTCACCCAGCTGACCCCTCTCCTCCCACCTCTTGAACCAACCCCCATCCTTGCTCTGTCGCCCACCCCAGGGGTCTCTGCCAAGAGGTCAGGGTCATTATGCTGTGGCCAGGGGATTAGGTCACATGATGGACCATGGAAGGTTGATGTCTGCAACTGTTTCTTCCTCAGGCTCCCATGGACAGAGGGCACTCACGAGATCAGGATCCCAATGATGACAGAGACCCCCCCAAATGGGAGGAGCCTGTTATGGCACAGGCGCCCCTCATCACAGACACCCATATAACTGTCACAGATATGCCTTACAACGGCACAGAAACCCCACGTATCAGAAGGGTTTCCAATGAAGAAGTCTCAGAAGTGACACAGGAACCCCACAATTCAGGGAAGGGACAGGGCCCTACAAACACAGAGAACCCCAATGACACTAGCCCCCATTATGACACAGAAACACCCCCATGACGAGAAGAGCCTCTATGGTGACACAGGGAACCCATAACGACAGAGGATGGAGAGGGACCCACATGACAGGAACCCCACACAGACAGACACCCCTCCCTGACTGAGCCCTTCACAGCGACACAAGGAATCCCCAGTGGCAGACGCATCCCATAATGACCACAGAGGCTCAGAGTTTCCACGGACACCCCTAATGAGAGACACCCCAAAATGGCATCAGCCCTTCCTCGATCGCCAAGAAGCCCGGCCATCCACCCCCGAGTGGCGCCTTCAAAGCCCAGGAGGCCCCTCGCCCCACGCC